GTCTATTTCCAAATAATATGCACCATTGTATTAAGCGTGCGATATGTTTGTTGAGATACTTAGCAAATTTTGTTTATGTTTTTTTTAAATCAACTTTTTATTATTTCTTATAATTTTTAGATTAACCAGTGGTAGTTCCCACTGCTGTTATATTGACACCTCGCAGATCCTGGAATTCACAGTTCATGATTCCTAGTGAATTAGTCACGTTGAGCTTACTGTCTTAACTTCATTCTCGTATCATTTTGGACTGATCCCCAATAGGCTGATACCGCTAGCGCAGTACCTTAACGGTCAAGAAGCACAAGGAATTGTCCAATGAAGTGTGATCTATAATATCGTAGCTGGATAAACCCTTATTACAAAGTAAATAAAGGTCAAAATCTAAAATGCGTTGATAAAAATATAAACGAACTCACCCGAGCAAGTAATAACTGAGGGCTTCTTGCCTTTGATATATTATAAATCTATATAGAAACAAAGTAGAGTCCACAACTAGGAGGTCCCCGGTGTAGGTTGTTTCAATCCGTCGTCATTATTATGGCTTAGTGAAGCGAAAAGTGCAGGAAAGCTCACATGGTGAAATAAATTAGTTTTGTGAGTTATTTTTAACCGTCGATAAAAAACTTTACCACATCACTAATTTAACGTACCTATGTCTATGCCTTTTCGTCTCCCAAGCAGAGGGGCCGATTTTGATGTCGATTTTTTGTTTGAAAGCGAGAAAGATGGTTTTTGGCTATAATTTAGTGAGATGTGTTTGTGTGATGACTTTTTCTAATTGACGAAAGGATTTCACTACTTTTGTGTTGTTAGGTTACTTCAAAAAGTTTCTAAATTTTTTGTAGATCTGTTTCTATATACTGTAATTTAGATTGTTATATATTTTTTTATTAATTCTGGTGTATTAGCTTTATTTATTTATTTATTTAAACTTTAACACATATACAGAATATAAATGTACATATGGCGAACTTTACACCTAAGGGCGTTCTCTACCAGTCAACGATAAGGCAAAATGAGAAATTAGTGAGCTATATTTTAAAGATATATTTTAAAATATTCCCACGTGGGAATAAAGTGAAGCTATCATTTCATTCTTTTTATTTAAATGAATGCAATAACTCCAAAAAAATAGAAATAATTAATATGTGTTTTAAGAAGTTTTCCTAAATAAATTTATATCTATATCATATATATAACTCAAAGATGACTGACATAGTGATCGCACAGCCCAAATCACTGGACGGATCGGGCTGAAATTTGGCATGCAGGTAGATGTTATGACGTAGGCATCCGTTAAGAAAGGATTTTGATTAATTCTACCAAGGGGATAAAATAGAGGATGTAAGTTTGTATGAAACTTTGTCAATTTTAAACCGATGGGGCTGAGACTGCATGCATAAATCTAACTATGTCGTAGGCATCCCCTAAGAAAGGATTTTGATAAATTCCACCCCTAAGGGGATAAATTAACGCCAGCGAAGCCGCGGGCAAAAGCTAGTTCTAAATATATAACAATAAATTTTGTTTGTTAATGTAGTTTATTATTATGAATATGATGTTTATGATCGTATGAAATCATCATAACTGTCTAAGAACTTAAATAGTAATGTAGACTTAAATATAACAAACAAATATTGCGTCCATTTTAATGCTTAGATTCGCCTATACTTATATACCTAATCACAATGTAAGTTTGGAATTCTTGAAATTTGTCACTAGATAAAGAATTAGAGTGTTTACATATTTGCCAACATATGTACCTATATGTACATATAATACATGTAAGTACGGAAATACCAAAGTTGTTTTGACGTCCACGCTAATATGGGGTCTATACTAAAATGCGACGTCTATACTAAATAAGGTGCAGGACATTGTCGCCTACATATGGACCAAAAGTAACCTGACATTGAGGGTGACGCAGCTGGAATCGAGTCATAACGTTTCGAGGCGTTTGTGGCCCGAGAGCCCACCAACTTGCTGACCACATTTATGAAGGAGGACTACTGGCCGAAGGGTGTGGTGTATCGGCGCTTCTTCTTCTTTAGGTGCAATCTCTTATCGGAGATTGGCGACCATTGTGGCGATCTTTACTTTGTTCGTGGCGGTCCTGAAAAGGGACCTGGTGATCAACTCAAACCACCTGATGTTTTTTAACCAGGAAGTACGACGTCTGCCTGGTCTTCGGCTACCCTGGACGTATCGGCTGTACCGTGGCAGATTGCCGTCCTCAGTGCCGCTCACGGCACTGGGCAATCTGCCACGGTAGCGCCGTATACAGACAATTTAACTTATTTTTTCTATAAATTTTAATATCAACAATTTCTACATATTAGTATTATAATAATAATTCATTTATATGTTAGTAATAATACGTGTGTAAGGTATTTATAATATGGGCCATTAGTAGCCTAAATTAAATAAATCATTAAAAAATAAAAACATGAATATCATAAATACAAATGTGTATCTATATGTCTGTTACCTTTGGTTAAAAGTAGGTATAGCATTATTACCCATCATAGAATAAATGTTTTGTACATTTTTATATAGAACATGTCTGTTTTGTATCTCAGTAATTTTTCTAATATCAAGGTATCAACCATAATAATATTAATATTTATTTTACTACTTAATTCTTTATTTACGACTAAACGCCTGAAACACAAAATTTTAATATAAGCTGTTTTTTATCTCAAATAATACTCTGGAAGGAAGAGAGCGGGGTAGTAGGTATAATAGTTTATGCAGATGTAGACGTGCTATGTCTTTTTAAAATCAAGGATTTTCTTATATTTTTTTTATATCTATATTTAACTTAGGGTTTAATCATCAGACGTATCAACCTCATCATATCTAATCTAACATCTAACATACGTTATATGTTAGAGACAACAATCAAAATTTAAACATAAGCTATATAAATTTAGATTATTTTACAAAATGTGATCTATTTTGTAAAATAATATAAAGCCTTAATTAATAAAATGACGACCTCGGTGATCTAGCTGTTTAGCACTACTTCGGCTTACTTCCGATGGTCGCGTGTGCGATTCCTTACACGGTTCAAATATACATTTGTATTCATGAGCATAATTGTTTGTATCGGTCCGGTTTTTACCTGTGTGTACTAAGTATGTATTTACATCAGTTGTCTAGACCCATAACAAAGGCTCTGTTTAGGTTGGAACTAGATGGCGCTGTGTGAGTTGTCGTTGTTGTTGACATACAATTATTATTACTTTAATATATATATCCATTAAGTAGATAGATTTCCTTATCTATATATACATCTTATATCATTTTAGTAGATTCCGGATGATAACACCTAATACAATAAAGTAACTGACTTTTGTTAACATTTAAGACAAGCGGCGGCGTGGTAGGACGGGACATTGGGGTCCCTAAAGCATGGTTGAGAGCAGTGATGGCTGGCTCATCCGTTATACTCGTAAACAGGTGCTGCTTGTACGGACTGGTCTCTGATAACTATGCTATTTATTTTGTTGCACAAGTAGCTATTATATATATTTTTATATTTTTGTCAGACAAGCATATAAACAACATAATTTCATAAGCAGGGACATGTAGTATACTCCGAATATCCACATACCTTGCAATTTTTACTGGCTAAAGTTTTTTTTTATCATCGTCCAAGCAGCCTTATCATTATGTCCTTGGAATATAAAATGTTGACATACCAAATATGTCTAGATTATCTCTTTAAATGACATCGTAGTTAAACATCGTCATCCATAAGGTGTAATAAAAAAAATCCCATAATTCCGTCTGTATGGTATCATCATCAGAGTACAATGGTTACCACTCAGATTTACGCAAAAGGATCACGGGTTCCAATCTGACCGTCACATAATTTGTAAAACCTGTTTATGATTCAAAGTAGTTTTTCAACTCATTAGTGATTAGCTGTCCACGATTTCGTCAGTAGAAATTGACAGTTGTGGAATTCAACATTTATTATTAATATATTAAATTTCTAAAATTAAAGTAGAGTTTAAAAGTTTTGTAGATTTAGTAAATAATTTTATGGGAGTTACTTGTCTTTTTATAGAATAAATACTGTTATTGGGACGTAAGAGTATTTCTTTATTTTATTAAAATGAATTAATTAACTTAACTAGGTTCCACTTTCTCATCCATTTCAGACGGTAAGTAGCTTGAGTTTTGCCTTAATTTCAGTTTAAAATAATTTCTGCGAAATTACAGTATATTGAGGCGTGGCATCTTCGTCCTTTGGAGTTGGAATGCATGAGTGATCACATAATAACGTGGTATTTTGTACCATTACAATTTACCACCAGACCATCAGCTTTTTTGTGATCCAATATCGTAAAAAATCATCTACCGACGACAGTATCCGATCCCAGGCCGACGACACTATTCGGTATCCTATCCCTAGGATCGATCTGCTAGTTGAGGTCGCGCTCTGAACGTGCTAATTTATTGGGTCAATCGATTCAGTGTTAAGTTGGGCACACCCAATATTGTTATATTCGACCAATTACTGATCTTTTAATACCTATATGTTAATTTATCAAAATCAGACAGGTTATCTGACCGATTGGTTGACAGAGTGGCTATGATATTTAACTAATATTTACCCTCGCTATAAGTTAAGCAGACATAAGCATCAAAACATCCATAAAAAAATATCTATAACAAAAAAATCGGGTCTCTGGGCATTTTGTGTGTGCATAAAAGCACTTAATTACCATGATCATACATCAATCAGCAAACATTAACTACACAGCTCCAGTTTTGTTATTCCATATTTATGTAGTACTAGCGCCACCTACGGCTCCTCTTCATTTTTAACTGTATATTTGCTTATAAGATTGCAGTATAAAAAACTCGTGCGGACGTAATATTTAGTTTAAGAATTAAAACATAGATGGCGCTATTCTTATATTTTTTTCACAACAACATCACACTGTTGCTCTAATTTTCGATCATTTTACAATTCTAATGTGTGATCTAAAGATTCCATGTTTACTTACATGTTTATTATGAAAGAACAAGACACGTTTATCTGCTTTTGTCATAAAATGAAGATTACATTGCGAATAATTCTGTTATCATGGTCATCTTCGATCTCAAGGTCGGAATCAGGATAATTTGTCAGTTTGGCGTTGTTACTGAAACGCGAATATCGTCTATAACTTTGGGTATGTTATATTATCTTGACTACTATCATATAATATAAATGTTATCATAGTTTATCACATCTCTGCTGTATTCTAGCTACTGTCTAGGTCGATTGCTTATCAGATATTTTTATATTCAATATGAATTTATAAAATAATATCTATTATTTATGGTGCCGGTTTGATTCTTAGTTGCGGTTTTATATTAGGTACGTTGTAGATATTACTGCTCTTTTTTAATTTATTTGCATGTTGTCAGAGAAATATTGTTGGTAACTATTTAAATGGCAAAACTTATGGGCTTGTAAATTTTAAAATTAATTATTTTTATATACTTTATTATTTATTTATTTCAATATTTTTATATATAAGATGGTCATTAAGTCAAGAGTCATAATTTGTTAAGACAATAATAAAATGAAAATTAAATAGGTTTAATTATTTATCTACGAGTAGATAGGTATACTAATATTATAAAGATGTAAAGTCTATGAGTCTGTATTTTCGGAGTAGGTACTGGTGGCCCGATTTTAAAGATTCTTTTCGTGTTAGTTAACCTAATTAATGATGAATACTATAGAATATCACACTACGACTATTAAAAGTAGAGCTGTAAAAAATTATAGTAAAAATATTGCAAACACGGATCAAAGATGACCCAGACGAAGTTGTGTGGATCAGCTAGTATAATATATACTTGTATGTGTATTTACTAAATTAAAATTAGGTTTTTTGGAGGTAACACAAATTATTGTGTGTTTGTGATTTAAAGATCTTTAGAAAAAGAGTGATGCCACATTATATTAATATTTCATCACCTCGCAACAGAATGTTATTATAATTTTCATATATATTTTTTTTATTTGACTGGAATGGCAACCTGGCTTATGAGCAAGTTGATGTAAAGTCATAAGCGTCACAAACTACGATGCCATTCGATCCAGCCCGCTTCCAATTCAAACGAATCAAAATTACAACAGCCTAAGCCGAGTTTCAAAACCCTTAGCCATGCCCTCAGACTAAAGTTGTATCCGGGTTATCCGGCAGACAAGAGTTGGCCTTCAGCCGCTCCCTAATTCCTTCCACGGGTTTGGAATGCCATCTGCACTCCTGTTGTTTGAAGAAGCTGTAAAGGCCAACTACAGCCAGCGTTAGAGTAATCCCAAAAAAAAACCTTTGTACCATTCACATGCACTTTGAGGTCTGTCATACCTCTTGTAGTTTCGCTACAATACCTCATAATTGGAACCAGAAACAACTTACAAAACAATCCTTTTACTAAAATAGCTTAAAAGCCTTGTATTAAAATACGTGAGACATATATAAGATATAACTACAGAAAAAGAAGTATATCTTTAGATCAGGACTACGTATAAAGTCTACAAATACTTGTAGTAAAGTATCTATCCAAAATTAATACGTAAAGCAAAGCCGTCCACGCAATTTTCATAAAAAGCTTTAGACATTTTTACGAAAATTGAGGCGTATGAAATTTCGACCATTATATGTAGTTTATATACAGAATACAGTAGATTTTTTTTTATTATGAATAAAAATACAATTAATCAATAAAAAACGTTACACACTCTTTCGTTTATTGTTAAAGTTTGTGGTCCAATTGAGAATAGATTTATGTTGTTTGTCTTTAATATTGTTATTTTATAGTTTCACTGAATATTGCATTAATTATGGTCGAATTTCGACCATTGGGCGACCATTAATAAGAAGTAATAGACGACATTGACTCGCTTTTACTATCTAAGTTATATTTACTTAGATAGTAAAAGTAGATATAACTTAGTAAAAGCGATGTGCAAATGCAAATAATTTACTAATGTTTTATAATTTTAGCCATTAGATTAAATAAACGGGTGTTCTATAATATAATAATAATCATACTAATATTATTAACGAGAAAATTTTGTTACTTTTTCACACAATAACTACTGAACCGATTATTATGAAACTTTACAGTAATATAGTATCATTATAACACAAATATTATGCGGGTGAAAGCACGGGTACAGGTAGTATAATATAACTCTTTATTGTGCACAGAAATATATTTACCCACACAAAAAGAACTTTATATAAATATGCTATACAGAGTCGGCCTTATCGCTTAAAGCAATCTATTATTTATCTCTCTAGTATATTAATAGAACAATATCTCAATGTAACACACGCGTTAAACGATACTCTTTCTTACACATGGTGTCTTCTCTGGTACATTAATAGAACAATACCTCAATGTAATTAATACACGCGTTAAACAAGACTTACTGTAAACAATTGAACCGAGTAAATAGTCATTTTCTGATTGTTACTGCCAGTAGTTTGACCCCATCGTGTCAGTACGCGCGTGTATCACATATTGGTAGAGTATGTTCTGGAAACATGTATTAAAGTGAGTTTTAATCATTATGTGTTTGTTTCAGAATAAAACAAATACGGCAAAGTGCTTGTCCAACTTCTATACCGAGGTTTTCAAATCTTCCGCACAGATAATAAGTAAATACCTTACGTTGTATAATTTATTTAAGTAACCTATACTCAAACAGAGTATCTCGGAGACTAAATTGACAACTGTAAATGTCAAAAATTGAAATAATGTTACCAGCTATAACCGGTAGTGTTGCGCCTGAGGTACAGATTTGTTAAATCGTATTTTTTTAATTTACGATTTATTCTTAGTTTCCACAACATTTTTAAAATTCACGTGTTTCCATTATTGTATTTGAATTAAACAATCGTACGTCGTATATCCACAAAAATATATTTTTTGTGTTGTTACGGTAATTACGGTTACGGTTTTTAGGGTATTAAATTACAAACTAACTATTTTTCTTCCTTACAATTATATTATAAAAAGGCACTTAGTCTTATTGCTTTAGTGAAATATATGTCAATTAAAAAAACTTTGTACAACAACTCTATATTCATTAATACCTACTTATTCATTTTGTAATAATGAGTTTTAAATAAACATCCAGACAATAATTCTTAGTAACCTATAAAAATCGATAATACATGTTAATTTGCGATAGCGTCATAACACTATTTAAGAATCGCATAAAGCTGCCAACATGGTTATTGTCAAATTTGTCTCTATGATAAAAAAAACAAACAATAATTAGTTTGTTTTGATAACAAATATGTTATAGCTATTACATATAAACACTAAACAGCATACCTATTGTTTACCATGTGGTTAGCTAGAATTTTATTGGTTCAGACCATATATGATAGTAGTTAGACCGAGCAATCTTTGTTTTGAAGATGTTTTCCATAATTCCACATAAACTAAACGTCATATCCTGTATTGCTTATGCGCGTTTTTATCGACTGTAATTTTTTTAGATTTGTAACTTAACTCTCGTGGAGATATGGCGGGGTGTATAATATCATTACATACTATAAAACAAAGTCGCTGTCGCTGTCTGTTCCTATGTATGCTTAAATCTTTAAAACTACGCTACGGATTTTGAAGCGGTTTTTTAATAGATAGAGTGATTGAAAAAGTGAGAGAAAGGTTTTGCTTTAAAATAAAAAATAAAAATTTAGGGGTGGACTACCCCTAACATTTAGAGGGATGAAAAATAGATGTTGGCTGATGCTCAGACCTACTCAATACGTTCACAAAATTTCATGAGAATCGGTCAAGCCGTTTTGGTTGGCCGTGGTTTGGTTTTAGGGTGAGATTAGGCAGTAAAATACAGTGTAAAGGTCATGACATCTTAATCGGCAGAATAGTGTGTCTGTTGTAGAGTTATATATATAATGTATATATTTTCTCTACAAAAACATTAATTAATTAATAAACTATACAAAACGAAATATTTTTGAAGATATACAATTAAAAATCATTACCTTCCGTGCTGCTTCAGATTAGGCAATGAAATTACCGGATAAGAGGCATGTCACCTTAGTCTTTTAACTTTTACTTTATTGCCATATTCTTACAATTTCAGATATAGTAAAATGAGTAAAATTACACCAGACCCAGCTAAAGCGGCTCTCCGTGACGAAATAGCGGCAAAAATCGCTACTCTTACCACAGAGGAGAAGAAACGACAGTCTGAGATAGTTTACAAGAAGGTAAACCTCATTATTCTACTATATTATCTACACTAGTATTAGATATACGCAAATTATGCGTAATAGTAAGTATCTTGATTATCTATATCTTTATATATAATAAAACTAAAATCGGAGCGACGCAAAAAAATATCTCAATTGGTAGAGGTTAAATAAAGTTGTGATAAATATTATTGCCCAAAAGGGACAGTAATTTAATTTGAAAAATTTTTTAATATGTTGTATTGTAGGTTTCATATTTATATACAGGTATTTATATCAGTTATCTAGTACCCATCACACAAGCTCTCCTTACCGTGGGACTAGATGGCGCTGTGTTAATTGTCCAGGGTTATTTATTTGTTTATTTTAATTGGTTATTTTAATTTCAGCTGATTAACCATCCATTCTACAAGTCAGCAAACAGGATATCACTGTTCATGAGCACTGATCAGGAGATCAACACAGCACCAATAATAGATAATATTAGATCTCGCGGCGCAGCTGCGTTCGTTCCACAATATGCTGGAGGACGGATGAGGATGCTGCGGATGGAGTTAGGTGATGAGGAGGTGATGCCGCAGACCAGGCACGGGATCCAGCAACATTCAAAGGAGCAGGTTCGAGACGATGCGTTGGAGTCAGGTAGAATTGTAAACATTGTCTATTTTTTAATTAATTAAAGTAGAAATTAAGCTTAACAAATGTGCCAATATATCCAATAGGAATAATTCTATTCTAATAGCAAATTTTCTATGTAATGTCTAATTATTATAAAAAAATAATTGAAATATCAGATAAATAGATAACTTATTAACTAAATAGATAACTTAATTATGTGATTATATACAATTCAATTATTTTCTTATAATTATACATAAAGTGCACTACCATGTATTTGATACACATAGGCATGATCTTGACAATAGAACCTTAATAATGTTCAAACTTTAATGTAAATTAATTATGGTCGAATTTTGACCACTGGGCAACCACTAGTTTAAAAATACGAAATTTTATCTAAATTATTACATCTACTTTTGTTAATAATATAACTAATAGGATCCAGACTTACGATGATCATTATTATGAAGAAACTGACTTGATATATATTTATGTATATGTTTTCAGGTGGTTTGGACCTAATAATAGCCCCAGGCGTCGCTTTCACGCGTTCAGGAGACCGACTCGGGCACGGCGGCGGTTATTATGATAAATTTATTACTGGATTACGTGCTGACCCAGCAACTGCACCTAAGGTACCTACTGTAAATTTTTATTTTATATCCGGCCTTAGTGATCGCGGGTTCGATGCCTCGCACGGTACAAACATTTATATTCAGTAATATGATTGTTTCTGTCAATCTTTTCTATGCATATTATGTAAGTGTTTACAAAAAAAAATATTTCAAATTAAAAAAATAGTATTCCAATCAGTTGTCTAGTGCCCATAACACAAGATTTGATTAACTTAGGACTAGATGACGTTGTGTGAATTATCCAGGATTGTTGTTATTTATACATTGACAATCAGCACCGATTAGGAGTAAACGCATTTATTTTTTCAGAAATTCTTGAATGCATGTTTTTTTTATTACAAAATGTGTGCACATTTGACCGCAATCACGCTTGATTATACGCTAGCTCAAATAGTAGGCACTATGTAAGCTAGCGTATAATGTTTTAAGCTTGACTTTAATCTTGAAAGACCCATCATTTTAAGAGACGCGAAACATAGATGTATACACCTTTCCCAATATAAGGAAAGATAGTGCAAAATCTGTTGATAACGAGAAGTATATACGTCAACAGCCATTCTTTATTATGTTTCAGGTGGTGGCAGTGGCCTTTGATTGTCAGGTAGTGCCCGAACTACCCGTGGCCGATCATGATCAGAAGGTGGATGATGTTGTTTTCGCTGACTAATTTCTTATTACCTGCCTTTATACAACACATCATTTCACATGCCATCGGGAGCGTAGAGCCAGCGCGCGCAATCGTAAAAGATTGCAATTTACTATTTTTTATGTTCACTCTTTTATATGTCACAGTCATTTCTCTTTCCTTTTATTCCAAAGAAGTAGTTTTCCAACAAAAAGTTTAAGATTTATAAATTATCAAAAACTCTGTAATTAAGTCAGATATCCACTATTTTGCAATGACAATTGATTATTACAAAAAGACGCTGAAACACTGACGATTCAAGAACACGAGAATATGCGAACTGACATGTTTTGTCTTATTCATTCCTGTATGAAAGCAGATTTGCGCGTGAAGGAGCGTATGTGTAAAGGCAGCTATTAGGTAAATTAAAGTATATTGTAATAATTATATTACATCAAGTATGACGTTACTCGAATTGATAGAGCCATAATTTTAAAAGAAATGTTGTTATAAACTGAAAATAGTGATCGATTAATTGTTACCTGTGTTACATTGTAAACATATTTTTTTAAGTAGGTATTAATGAAATACATTATATTTTCTTAATCCTGAAGTGTTTTATTTTATACTGGTAAAAACAGTGAGGCAGTTATACCCACCAAAATAATATGCTATTTATATAATTAACTATGTTTTTAAACGTCCTATCAAAGAAGCGCCTTTTTATTACTGCAACGCATACATATGCTATAGATATGCTTTTAATGATTTGTCCATAATTTCATTTCATGAACTGCATTTATTTCATGCGTAGACAGCAACCAACAATATATGTAATACGAACACTCACTGACCTGCTGTCCGACCAGTACTTTCCAGTTGTATAGAATTCAATGTAAATTAACACGCAGATAGAGAACGTGAATATGCTGTGTAATGTGTAAGTTGGACTCTATTATATTACAAATGCAGAGCCGAAACTACTAGAGTAGCCATACAAGCTCCTACCAGAAGCAGGGTAGCCTCCTAAAAAGTGGAGATGCTACCAGTCGCCGAAGTCAAGCTTTTAAAATACAGAACTATACGTATACACTAAATATTATCAGAGCACAAGTTATTTGCAGCATTTAAATATTTTTTAAGAAATACGAAGAAGAGAACAGATCCAAAAACACTTTTCAAAACCAAAAGAAATTTATTTATTAAGTTGGAACGAATAAAAACATGCAGTCAATGCAATTGAATCATACAATATATTATTACTACTTGTACCCGCGATTTCGTCCGAGTAAAATAGTGACCTTTACCAAATAACGAAAAAAAAATTTAACGACATAACCCAATAAAAGCCAAATGAAAAAGTTTCATCGTTTCATCATCAAAAATGACGACACTTCCATACATAACTCTTTCAACCCATTATAACTCTTTTTCTTAATATATCTTTAATAAATGGGCTAAAAATTAAACTTCAAGCTTCTTCAAGTAAGGATAGTAAGGATAAAATTGCGTTTGTACGTTTATATATTTAACTAATTAATTAAGAGGAAATATTTATGGTAAACTGATCTACCTATAGGTTATAAATAAAATACAGCATAATATAATTATGAAGTTTAATTAATATAAAACATAAGCGCACTTTGTGCTATCATACATTTATGAATACAATTTCGTACAGAATGATAATAAAGTTCCATGAAAATTAATTAATTAATATTTAATATATTACATTACATCCACCAAATTTATCATTTTTATCAATCTGTACAAACATTAATTAATACAAATTATAAGGTACACGAATCACAATAAGTACATATTTGTTATTCTACATCACAATATAATATAATATTATTTTATAAATAATATTAAATATTTCAAAAACAGAATTGATTTTTTAATTTAAAATTTAATTTAATTTTTAAACATAAATATAACAAAAACATTGATTTGAATGAAGCCAATGTTTGTTATATATTTTTTGTTATTATCTCTGCTTATCTACATTATTATAACTCTAATTAATTACTCATTTAATTAAATCGTAAATATACAAATGATTCTTTAATTACATAATACACATTAATAATTTAAGTAAGTAATTTTTTTAATTAAGTATTATGTTTGATTAAATACACATAAATACAAATGAATATGAAATTTAATTTAATTAATTTAATTTTCATAAATTAATTCTTTTTAATGGGCTTATGGCACCAATTAACAATAACATATGTAATTATTAAAATGATCTAATAATATTATGGTTCATATATATATTTTTTATTAGTATAAATTATTTCTTAGTATAGTGATAATTATCAGCATTATTTTTCTTAAAATTTAATGTATAAATACAACTTACCCCTACATATAATGGTTTATTAAAAGACCAAATAATTCTTATTCTATTAACTATACAATAATTAATAATAATTAATATACAAAAATTATCTAATATCAATTTTATGATGCTACTGTTCTATGATTAATTAGAAGAGACGAAGAAAAAGATCGAAGGACGAATAAAATAAAAACTATTATATGCTCCTCATGTATAAAAAAAATACCATTTTAGAAATTCATCCATATATAAAAAGCTTATCATTGAATATAATCGACTGGGTGTTATGTTTATGAAAATTAGAGATCTAGACTAAACTGCCAATAAAAATAGCAAACTAAATTAAACCGTACAGTTTTTATTATAAACTAAACAGTATTAATGCCAAAAATGCTATTATTCTGTCAAATAATAATCAGACGAATAAATAAAATAATAATACATAATATTAGATAAATTTTATTTTAATTTATGAATTGAATTTTAGTAATTATATCCGTGCGAAGCTGGGTCGCGTTCTTAATATTCTATAATAGCTCTAAAATTATACTAGATTTAGGGGCAGTGGTTATACCTATCCTTTCTGTAATCGACATTTTTTTATAGATTAAGAATAGATAGGTTGTACAGATACAATGACAATTCCTACCCTTCTCCATTATTAATGCCATCTCTCCGACCTCTCTCAATATGAAAATATTTAAGGTTTCATACTAATTATATTTTTTTAATCAACTTTATTTTAAAATTACACAATAGCTGAAAAACTCAATTATCACGAAAAGTAAGAACCAATCTCTAGTTTTTATATGAACAATCCATGACAGTGTAAAAATTTGAAAATATGTGCAAGGTCTTGGAGTTAGAATTTTCAGAATAACAAAACAAATACATTAATTTTTACAGTAATAATAAAGTAAGCCGTGTAGAGTGTAACGTAAATATTTTCGCTATACTACGATTGAAAGTATTGCTATGGCGCATTTGGTGAGGGCAGACGCGAGATCTCTGAATTGAGATAGAAGTAATACTGAATAATACTCACGTCGTAATTTTTATGTCAACATACTCGTCTTAAGAATGGTTCCATGGAACACCAGTGGGACCAGTAGGTATGGGGAGTACACTGGCTTTTACTCTGATCAATTATCCTAATCTCGCAGACGATGTCGGCGGTACTAACTAGTAAGTAATCAATTTATAGATAAAAGGATTTAAAGCAACTTTAGAAATTATCTAATACTCTCTCTTGCCGCCCACGTGTTTGAGAAATGTTCGTTTAATCGTGATGTATGCTTATTGCTACCACAAGTAAATCAGTATATTTGTGTTCCATCATACACAAGTGCAATTTTCATATACTTAATCGGGTGTATTGGGGGAGGGGATTATTAGTAATGGGCTTATTGGCTCCCTGCTGACCAAAGTACTACGTCAAGTCGCCATTATCTAGTCCTAAAAACCTGGCGAAGTACTCCTGGTGAATTCACAAAATATAAAAGCACTGCACGTCTTCAAAGTTCATAAAAAACTAATGTCTTATATAAACATATTGCTGCATATAATAAAAAAATGTATTTTTTTTTTAATTAATAATAATAATCATCTGTAATTCAATAATTTTAATATTAAATCATTATTAATACAGGTAGATACTATAGTTATATTATGAACTCGTATATCAGTATCTATATAAATCTTTGTTACAAATTAAGAAAGAAATACAAAAATTATCAAGTGAAACGAGTAAAATTAATTACAGTTTAATAATTTCATTACACTAGAATCACACGGGTATGTTATCACAAGTTTATCCATATACAGTGATATCGAATATGTGATTTAAGACTGCATTTTTTAATCGGACCTTGGTAAAAGAATGTCAACACGAAACCAGTTCCGTGCATCCAGTTGCTTCATAATATGGATTCCTTGGTAGGTCAGCCACGACGCAGCGGGTATTCTTCCTGAAAATAAAATTGGCGACTGTTCATATGATATTGATTTCATTACGCATAATTAATTTTTCACATTTATTGTTAAATAAATTTAATCAAATCTATTTATCAAAAACCAAACTGTTTACTTAAAATTATATATTAGTATTATAAAATATCTGATGGTATTTGTAGATTAACATATGATGAGAAAGTAATAATAATACTTTATTCCTGAGGAATACATGATTAAGAATAAGAAGCAAGCTGATAGTCGACTTGTTTGAAAATGGAACTATTACCCATAGACGTTATCAATTTTGAAGATTAAAATGGGTATACCCTAAAATTTCGCTGCTACATTTCATTGTTCGAATAGAAACAACATGCAAGTAAATTTTGCCACGACAAATGCATCAACTTTTGACAGCCTTGGTGATCTAGAGGTGTAGCACATCGCTTTACTTCCGATGGTCCCGGGTTCGATTCCTTGCACGGTAATAACATTTGTATTACACCGTTACAATTATACTTATATGATTGTAACGGTCTGGATGTTATCTATGTATATTATGTACGTATCTATATCTTACATCTAAATCGTAATAGAATATAATATGGCTATACATATTGGTATAATACATAAACTGGTTACATCAGCGAAGAACAGCGCCAAAGACTCGTTGTCCTCGAGACATCAGCAGTTCCACAGCCCCAACTGCAGCCAAGAGAAGCAGCAGCGCAATTATGGCCAATATTGCCCTGCAGTGCTTTTTTCTTCTCTCTCTTCGGGCAAGACGACGAGACAAAGCTTCTCCTCGGGCGCCGTCAAGCGTGAAGAGAGCGCTAGCAGCCTGAAATTGAAAAGGTTGTAAATGTAAATTTATATTTGACGCATTTAGCCCTCAAAGCCCGTTGTCCGTTGTACGAAATGAAAAGGTTTAGTATTTCAATTAAAATATTTAATACACATTTTGTGACGTTTGTAATATCGCCGAATATGTATGCAGGTATTACTACAGAATGCACTACTATAATTATATTTCCTGCAGCACATGCTGATTTATAAAGCTTAAAATTTAATCGATGTAGGTACCAATTTACAAGTAGGATTTGAAACTTTAATATCAATGTCACAGATATCGGTATTAGACTTTTCAGAACTCCATTTTATACTAATAAGAGATTATATGTTAAGGAAGACACACATTAAAATATTATTAAGCATTTTCTTATTAATAATATATTTGCGATGTCATATTTCTCCATAGAATTATTCTGTTATAATTTTTAGAATAATTTTGATACTTATAAATAAATGTATGCCAATACTGTACGCTAAAAAATACCTACCGATTTGGCTGTTATATACACATTACCAAAATAATAAGATAGGTGCCATGTATGAGCCTTGGGGAACTCCCACGTAAACAATGTTAGTAAATGAAGTAATGATTTTATTTGACAAGTAGTAATTGACTTGTGCTACATAAGCTTTATCATGTATCGAGAATCAATAGAAATATATTTTGATGTTACAAGGTTAGGAAACAATGAGCTGCAGTTTTATCAAAAGCTTTCTTTCGGTCAGTTAGCTATTATGTATATTATGGTAGTTGAATTAATTTATTGTATGTAGGTGATAAACCGGACGCAATTTACAATCCTAATGTTGAAAGTGTAATTTGACATATAAGTATTATCTCTATAAACACTCACAAGTAACGACTAAGTGGATTTTTTATACATTTGGGAGTGGCAAATAAGTTGGCGATTGGAAAGTATTCGCCACCAGAATAGTCTTATAGATTACTTACGTAGTGACAATACTTGTATATGTAGAAATCAATAACAATGTTGAAATTACAAAATATACAGCGCTCACAAATATAATCCTCCTCATAATTTTCGACTCCTAAAAACTAAAATATTTTCTGTCAGAATTGACTAATTTAGTCTTACTCTTCACATGATAGAACACAACAAGCTGAATAACGCTACTTATGCTTGGTAGTTCATGACAGAAGGTGGTAGGATGGTAGTAGGTAGAACTGATTAGGTAATTGATTATGACTAAATTTAAATTCAAAGTTCCTTCCTACATAAGAATGTATATTGAAAAAAGATTAGATCATTAATAAGCATCATTACTGACGAGTTGAGGCGTTTGAGTAAGAGATTTTAACTATTAATATATAGCTTTCGTAAGATCAAATCAAGTAGTAGATACATGCTTAGTTACTTGTGTTGTAAATCTAAATAAAGCCAATAAAAATGGAAAAATGTTTACCTACCCAAGTAATACAGACCAATCACCATGTACTGGTGACTCTTTTGAAATTTTGTTGTTGTTTATTCATGAAGTAAATACAGTAGTCGTATTAAAGAGATATATGAGGTATAAACCTCAAGGGAATGATATAATTAAAACAGTTAAAGTGATTATATAATTAAAATGTTAACATCAAAGGGAAGGTGCGATGCTTTTTATGGTAAAATGGAAATGAGATAGGTAAGTTTAATTAAAAATACAGTTAATAAAAGCTGTAAAAAAGCGATTGACATCGTTTTCAAAGATAATGTGACACACATTTATGAAGTTGGATTAACTATTATGGGTATATAAAGAAGACATGTATACCTGTTAGCAAAATTGGATATCAAATATATATGTAACAATAATATACCTTACTCAATAATTACCTTTAAATATATTTAAATTATCTGTTAAATCATACTTATTGAGCACTAAACGATTATTAAATGTCAAATGTGCATGGCAGTAGTTGTTCATGTACGGGAATTTCATTTAATGTTAGACATAGACACCTATATAATTACATAATGTAAATAAAATGGCTTTTAAAAAAATCAGTGGTGTTTATTGCCAGTTCTTCTCAATTGATCTATATGTTCGATTGAACGATAGAGAAAAATATTAATAGAAAAACTTGACGTTCATAAGCGTCTAAAATGTTTTACATGAATAAATGATTTTTTAATTTGATACAGTAAGTAGTAATAAGTTCTTGATAATAATGATAATAAAATATATATAAATACAAATCGATTGCCTGATATATGCCAACTCTTCAATTGAAAACGGCTGCATCTATATGGTTAATTCTTTTTTTATTGTCTTTATCTACTTTGTTTATAACACATAGAATATATAAATTTAATATTACGTCAAAATCACAAAAATATATTCCTATATTTTCGCCAACAGAAATGTTTGTTTGAAACCAAAAATAGACAACAAGTTATTTTTAGATAACATTCGACCTATTACATAAACTAATGTTGCAATGACTACAGAAATAAATATAAAGAGGTTAAAATTATTGTTACAGAGGTAATAAACAAAATTGCTTGACGTTAAGACGAGAATAACATTTTACACGGTGTTTGACTATATAACATTATTATAAACTTGGGATATCTATAGTACTAAAATAGACTGGCCAGACGGTCTGACATAGTATTTTCTTTTGAGTAGTTATACAACAATGTAAGAGAAGATTCTCTTGTTAGATATTATTGGTTTATAGGATCAGATAGATGTTAAAAAAACTTATTCAATCTTATAGTAGTTTTTAAAATAGTTCAAGATCAGATAAATGTAGACGGATAGATAGAAAGTAATAGTGTATAAACGTCAGAAGCAATGCTTATATTGCTTTTGCAAAAACAAGACTTTAATTTCACTCTATTTTAAACCAATATTGTCCCACGGTTCGGAAAAGTCTTCCTCATTTCCTGTTTTTTCTCTATTCTACTGGAAACAGAATCTTAGACTACTATCAGTTATTACCCTGGATTTTTTTTTCCTTTTGAATACTGCGTAATTGACAATATGAAAAGCACATATACAATAGTCCAATCTGTTGACTGTTTTTTCTTGAATTGTATTTTCCTTTTAAATTAATGATGCTGCTCCAATGAATCAGTCCTCAGACGATGTCTGTGAATCTTATCGCTAGTCCCTGGATATCATGTGTTTTACGTCGAGAGAATCTTAAACTCTCCGATTTCTGCAGTTGTGCGGTCAGTTCATTTCTGTGTCTATTTATTTACCTGTTTTATTTATTTATTACCCTGGATTAATATACAAATAATTACTATTATAGCAATTTTCGCGGACAAACCGTTCTCTTAAAAAACACTTTTGCGGTAATTTTGATGGTAAACCGTAACAAAAAGCAACCGTTAACAATTCTAATGCGAGGGCCAGCGTACACTACTGTGCAATAAAGAATTACAATACAAAATCGGTCAAGAACATGTGAAGATTCGGTAGCCAAACATAATAGAAACACCTCATGTAAAGATTACAGATTTCCCCACATTATATTAGTACCATTCTTGTTCGATGTTATATTGTGTTGTGGCTATTACAACATAAACGTTATCTGATTACGTTGCTGATCCATAATTTATTTGAGCTTCATATTTCGGGATTAATATATATAATTTTAATATAATATATAAAATTCTTATGTAACAAAACTTCTTTCTTTAAAGTCATTTGAAATATGGCTAATCTACAAATTTTTCGTCTGTGAAATAGGATTCTCTTTCTCTCATAATCTCTGGCTTCCCGCTTCTCTATGGTATTGTACAAAATGGCATATTAATTGTCGATAGCGTACTCGTAAAATAGGCCTTAAGCATTTGTGCCATCATTGTGATAAAAAACATAGTATATATAGACGGACTCGGTGGTTAGGTTACGTAGCGGTTTAATACGCCGGCGCCGCTCTACTACCAATGGTCGTGGGTTCAATTTCTCGCACGGTACAAAAATTTGTATATATAAGTATGATTGTTTTCTATGTATATTGTGTATTTATTAACAAAAAATATATCTATCTATTTATATCAGTAATCTAGTACCATATAATAGAATATAGTAAAATGTCAATATATTATATATACAATATATTTAGTATGCAGCCGCCTCTCTTTTCTATCAATTATTTGTGTCTGAAGGTTGACTGAAGGAGATTGGTTAGCTATACAGCAGCCTTGTGTGCAGTGTGTTCACATTTTATTTAATACTAGCTCATCCCGCATTTTTGTTTGTGATATTCGGAAGAACAATAGTTTATAAATCGATTGAAATAAATCTAACACTAGATTTCAAGTAAAAGTTATAACAATATATTATTGAAATCACACTCAAATCGGTAAAGCTGTTCCTGAGATTAACGCGCACAAATGCATAGACAAACTGAAAAAATTGTAATAATTATTATTTTAGGTAAATAGTCATTAGTTATTCTTGTTACATTTGTATATGTACAGATAAACTTTTTTTTACCTGCTGCAATACAGTGTATAAATAAAACAAAGAAATAAATGTGCCAACAATGTTCTATTAAATAAATTGCACTCCAATTTTAAGTAAGGTCGCAGCGAAACCATATGTTGTGTATGTAGATGTCATAACTGCACTATTATACCTTTATATTTTATTCTAGGGACTTCGAGTTATCTTTATCAAAAGTATGTATGACTGTTGAAACAGTGAATAAGCGGAAGCGAGTTATCGCTTCTGCTTATTTATTTATTCAGTTCAGTTAGTGCCAGTTATGGCACTAATTGAACTGGTTAATTGAACTAATTGAACTATCACCGCCCTCGAGGGGTGAAGGTTGAACCCTCGGAGCCCTTTGCTTTGGCATCAATTCAATGGATGCATCATTGCAATTGGGGACAACAACCTTTAGGTTGTAAGTCTCTTAGGGCGAGAATTAACTTATAAAGAAACCTACTACATAAACTCAATTTAAGGAATAGTTTATATTTGGGATTTAGGATTTATTTGTGTTTTCTTTTCTCTTGTTTTTAT